TGTCGCGTCGTCAACTGCAAAAAAATTTGAATTAATATCTCATGGATGAGCGTAATAACGTGATTATTTATATAGTTCGTTAAACAATAAGGACATTACGCGAATATTATATTTGTACATAATTGAATTTAATAACTAGATACAATTTTTTTCTATCACAGGGTATGACGCTTGTTAACGAAGTGAAATTAAACCCACGTCGTGACAGCCCAACGAGCTCTAATTTTCATGGTTTTCTGTGAATGCAGATTTTTAACGACTGTCTGTGTGCCTGACGAAGTTTTACAGCTTGTGAATTTTAAAAGAGCTGGCAAATTACGTACGTTACGTGCACTCTGTTTTCAAATTCTTTGTTCGGACAGTGGATTTTGCACGAACGCAAACAACGCTTGTTGTATGCACTAAACTTCATATGATGATGTCCTGGCTACGGATAAACGCAATTTTACTGGTTCAAGAATCTAGTCACGTACTGTTTGCCTAATGTCACAAGTCACGACTGTCGACTGTTATCCATTTGGTACCGATCCAAAACGCCACCACGACGCGAACCGCCATTCGGCTGACTATACTCGGGGATTTCTACTGGCGAGTTCTATCGCCAGACTAGAATTAACGTGTTTTGATGATTATGCTTGGCAGAACACACGAAAACCGAGATAATTAAGTTAAGTTACTTGCGTATAGATTTTATTTACACCATTTACGATCTTATGTTTACTTTTTAAATAAATTTTTAAGTAAGTTTCATTGCTATTTAAAAAATTATATTACTAACGCGCGCTCTCTCTCTCTCTCTCTCTCTCTCTCTCTCTCTCTCTCTCTCTCTCTCTCTTGTCAATCTTGTCTTAGGAATTCAATGATCTTTTCGTCTGCAATTAATTTGTTATTTTAAGTTATTTTAATTCTTTATCGACAATATGAAATTTTTATCCTTTGTCTCTGGATCTTCGAACTTCAGTGCAAATTTTTATATTGTTTTAGGCTGTATAAAAATCTGTCAAATTCTTACATACTAGAAAATTTTAACAATAAATATTTGTCATAAAAATTGGATTGTATTTCACTTATTCTTTTATAGATTTAAATCTACCAGAATTTACAATTAAAAAATCGGCTGTCTTTAAAGTCTAATATTATCGATGAAGAATTAATTGACAAGAATTAAAGCGCATATCTTTGTACCATTTCCTCTTTTTTTTGCATAATTATTTTCATAATTATTCTACCAGTTTCTCTTTAAAATGATACTGACATCCGTAAAATCATCTTTAGGCTCGTAACATGCCATTGCCAGCAGACAAGGGGAAAGATGTAATCAGATATCAAAGGACTAGCCAATAACTAACTATGTAATATCGTTATCCGCCAGACTTGAGGATCTTAACAATTTCCGATTTTGTTACTTCAAAGAGTTGACATTTCATTGTGATGTGCGCAAGACTTGATTCTTGATAGAAACTTTGTTCATTTGAAGTAATATGTTACTTTATTAATAAAATATATAATACTGTTTTCTTAATGTAAATCGGACTAAATTATTACTTAGTTATAAATTTTTTATTTGAGAAATATATTTTTAAAAAATATTAATATTAAATATTTTGTGAACAATTATCAAAAATATATGAAGCAACTCACTGTTAGCAACATTAACAACTTGAATTTCTGGTATTAATCAATAAAAAACGAAAGTCCCAGAGTGAGTATTTCGTAAATAATAAATGTACCGACACACAGTAGACCGAGGTATCGGTGATCCTTGGACAAATTGTACAAGTATCATTCGAATCGTACGATGGAAACGTCTGATATGTGCCTATCGTACTTCATATTTCATGAGGATCGCGGATGTATCAACTATTCCGAGCAGGTTCGAAGTGTTTGCCATCGCGTCGATAAGGGCCCGTCGACGAAGGGATATAAGAGCTCAAGGGCGTGTAACTGCAACATCTGTTGGCGAAGAGATCTCCAAGGCCTATCCAGGGCAACGGCGTCTCGCATCTGTTGTTCGGGCATTTCGGCGCTATTGCAAAGTATCTTCGAGGGAGAGTAGAGCTTTGTAACGATGCAATACCAGCTAAAGACGCATTCGTGGCGAGCCGTCGAGATTGCAAGCTCATCGTGACTGGCAGCTTTCGAGATCTTCTTCTCCATTTACGGTTATTTTATGCGCGAGATTTTTAAAACCAAAGTTTCAACACACGACTATTTTTACGTTTGTCGAATGAAACGACGGTTGTTGTAATGCAAATGTGATTGATTCAACAATTCCGTTAGATATTCATTGAAGCATTTTGCTCCAAGCGATTTCGTTCGGCGCGCGTTTACAATTCAAAGTTTTACTCGTAAAATGACAAACTTTCTATCTACGTGCGTAGGGTAACTGCGCCGTCATAAGGTGTCATCTCTCTTTTAATAGCATCTTGCCACTCAATGGAATCGCCATTGACTCCTTTCTCGAGCGCGTTTGACGTGTCGGCTTCCCAAGACAGTAAATTCGCCAGCGTCGTAAATCTCTGCGGCGGGTTCCACCCTCGATCTCCTTCGCTCGGCAATAAATACGGATCGCTGGCACGGGGCTGCTCTGCTTCTCGGCTGGCGTTATTCCGACGAGTCTCAGTCTCTGACGATACGCAATACGTCCTGATTTTCGCAGGGAATTAAAATTTCCGTTCACCGTCCGTGATACGGCGTGTAGCTTCCTGACGGCAAACGCCTGCGAGATTTCCTGTGTACACCCCCGTCTCCGAGTTTCATTCGTGACCAGGAATTTCCCTGGAGACGTCTGCGGCGACGTGTCTCGCGTGTCTCCCGTCGAACGAATATTTTCCGCCCTTCCTAGCTATTCCTCTTCTCTGACTTTCTAACGCCGCGCCGCACGCAATCACTGTTCCCTTTTTCCCGTACGGCGTCGCAAAACATCACTCGACGAAACTTTGGGTGATCTTAAAGCAAGCAAGCACGCTACGAACTCGTATATGATGATCACCGACGGAGTTTACTCGTGTCCTTGACGTTCCTGTGTACGATTCGGTACGGAACATCTCGACGGTTTCTCCCCATTTCCCGTGGGAGCGTGCGGTCGGAAAGCCCGCGAAGAAATTGATTGAGACGTATCTCCGTCAGAGACGGATATTAAAACAGTCTGAGAAGAAGGAGGAAGCAGGGAATAAGGATACGAGTGTCAGGACAAGAGATTACTCATAGGGTGGATGGCGTGGATGCTGTACTGTACAAAAGACAAGTTTGGTCTTGGGAGGAAAATTCCAGCAAAGAGAGACGAGAAAACCCGTTTACACCGTCGCTGAGGAAGAGGAAGAGGAAAATCAAGCAGATAAATCTGCTGGGCCGATCGCCAGATTGAATTTAATAATACAGACGCACGCAATCTCGTCGAGTAGCGTTAGCCGTGCGGCGGCGGTTAATGTTTAACCATTCCCGAAACGTGTGTTTCGCAAAGAGGAATTGAATAGAAATGGCGCGTGAGAGATATACCCGCACCGTCTTTCGGTTTTTCTTTTACCGTAATTTGATGTGCATGTAGAGGATATTTTAGAACTAATTGTCATTTCCACCACAAATTATATGACAAATTTCAAACCGACTTCTTTCCAGCGAAAGTTTAGCAAATTTAATTATTTGTCGTACATTAAGAAAAAACTTTAATATAAATGTTATTACATTAAGATTTAAATTATATTCTTACGAAAATAAAATAATTATAATAAATTGTAATAGATAAAATAATTATTAGATATATTATTATATTAAAATTTTAATTAAATTTTTACAAAAATAAAAATCTCCCACTTTAATCCTTCGGTGCTACGTTATATGTTTTGTCAATTGTCATATACAACACATTAAGTATTGTGTAAAATCACACAACACATGAATAATATTTTTTTTAATCCAAACGATGATAAACAAATATATATATCTTTATTAATAAAAAATTATAACATGAAAAAGTTAGGAAAGCAAGAAAAAAACAGTAAAAGAAACAGTCGGGGGTATGCCATATCACATAGTACCAAAGGATTAAAATTAAATATTTTGTTTTCTCAATTTGTTAACATTTTTTATGTCTGTGATAATTCCGTAACTACAGATACTTCGCTTATCTATCTGGTTTTTTCCCCCGAGACGTCGTAAATATCTGCAAATGTATGCGTACCCAGACGAAAGCACTCCGACGTGCTCTTCGGACACATTAAGCTGCAAAAGAGGCTAACTCGACGTTACACCTGTCAGAGCAATTTTGTTTTACCTGCGTCATGTACCACGTCCGAGAAGTCAACCGCTAAGAGATTGCGCCAACAAATGAAATTAGCGTCCTACTATATTCAGGGGCGTTTCTTTGATGCGGAGTGTCCTTCGTCGATCATTATCGTTCGCGAAGAACTCTCGATCCTGATATTATCAAGGCAAAAAGTCACGTAATCATAAAAAGTTAGGTATGAGCAAACAGTTCTTGATAGAGTGGTCTGTCACCTTCGAAAAAGATTTTTTTAGAAAGCAGTCTTATGTCTTTTAGTCAAATTTACAAGTCATACTACTGTTTCGCTTTTAATATTATATTTAATTTTATATTATATTAATATTATTATTTAATAATGATTTGTCACAGAATATTATTTTAATAATACCAAAAATTTTTTATTTATCATTATTCATGATATAATTATTTAATATTCAATCAACATTCTTATCTGATTTAATTATCTCAGTTTTAAACGAAGAGTCACTTACAAAAAATTGAGAATAGTAGCAAAATAATATTGATAATTCCGTAACAACTTTTTGTGGATGCAACTTAATTCGCTCGTTGTTTAAATAAATTCTGACGTATCCAAGTTCTGATTTGTGGCAATTATTAAGGAATCGTAAAGAGCTTACGACGATAGATCGCCTACAATTCCGTATAGTCGGTATATCATCGATGTTTACTGGCGAGAGCTCCACGATGCGTCTAACTGTCGGGTGACTCATTTCAGGCGGCGGTCTGGCGCGTCCGAAGATGACTCTGAATCTGGATGCCAGTAGTATTGCAGCGGGAACGAGTGCGAATTCGGGCGGTCAATTGGTACCGAAAAAACCTGGTGGCCTAAGCCTCGGTTTACCGCTGGAAATCAACACCGCTCGAATATCAGCTGATCTGGTTGATGTGGAGCTTCCATTGGAGAGACAAGGGTGAGTGTTTTGCCGACTTTTACTGTGCTATTTCGAAATACTTTATTTTCGTATGGGTTTTGGCGAACATGATATTACCATTAATGTACGGACAATGTTTTAACGACTTGAATACCGCTAATGAGTTTGTTAACATTTTCAAAATTACTCTCATTTATGCGCTTGTACTTATTTATTTTTAAATTTTGCACAAGTACTTTTTGCAATGTTTTTCGCACACAGAAAAAAACGATTTTATTGAAATATTTAAAATTTTTGTTAGATGCAGATCTGAAAATAATTTTGTTAGTCCATCAAATATAGAAATCTTAAATATGAGTAATGCTGTAAAAAAATTTGCACTTGAAAAGCTTTGACATTCTAGCAATGTGTGACTCTCCTATAATTATTTTAATGGTCGAAAAAACTATTTTCAGATCTGTATCTATAAATGTCTAAATTCTTCATATTTTAACCGTTATTTTCGTGCAGTACTAAAACTTCGCGGATTAATGCACATTATTTAAAGAGAGATCTTTTATTCAGATGGTATCACGGCTCTATCACACGCATCGAGGCAGAGGGTCTTCTGCGAGTTCACCAAGAAGGAAGCTATCTGGTGAGGAACAGCGAGTCGACCAAACAAGACTATTCTCTATCCCTGAAGTAAGTAATACTTAAATAAATATTTGTTCGCATATTCGATAATTTGAACAAATATTTATTGAACATTGCGGATTCTTCCGAATGTTATAACTCACATAACGCCGTTGTAATTGTTTTAGGAGCGCCCGTGGTTTTATGCACATGCGCATCCAGAAGAACGAAGAGCTGAACGCATACATTCTGGGGCAGTTTAGCAAACCGTTCGAAAACATACCGGAAATGGTCCGTCATTTCAGCGTGAATCGTCTTCCGATACGCGGTGCCGAGCACATGTGTCTCCTGCACCCAGTCATAGTTCAGCTTTTGTAGCGCATCTATCGTAGCGCCATTTAAGGCGCTGTGATTTTGATAATCTGTTTTCTTTTTTTCCCGACGAGTGCCGAAGCGCGCGATTGCGAATGAACGGTAAGCTTGATATAGCGAACGAGATGTAGGAAATATTATTCTCAAACAAGGGAGTCTTCCGAGAGTCCGCGAGACGTGGTTGACCCATGAGATTCTCCGTATCAATTCGCATTCTGGTTGAATGAACCGTTCCGCACGAAGAGCGTCAGAGATAATGGACAATAATAGCATCGACGAGGAATACCGCTTCGTCGCGAAATGTTAGGGGAAGTACAGTACAAAAGTATAAACGATGACATTGAGCGAAGCTGCTCAACGAATATACAGTGCGATCGATCAGACGAGAACGTCCAGGTCCGTGCAATTTGTTGGGAGAGGCCGGTATTAAACTATGTATGAGGAATCTCAGGTCGCTCCAAGTGAGGATACTTGCTCACAACGTCATCTTTTTGACAACACTTTACTTTCGCATGTCTAGTCCAAGTTTATAGTCCAAGTTTTTATTGCACAATAAAATTAGAGTCAATAGGAGCAGTGAATGCTTCCCTCCTCCTTTGCCTCTCGGACTCGAAAGCGTAAAGATCGGTGTCCTACATGCTTCGTCTTCCTTAAAAACATCGCGCAAACCTACCTCATAGGCAAACGCATGCATCGCGGCACGATGGAGAAACGTATCAGAAATTGCGGTATTAGAAATTGTAAGATTGTCTGGGGAACGAAATTACTTGAAACAGATACGAATTATCGTTCAATATGCAGTGGCGACCGTTGATAACTCTCATGAAGGCTATAATGAATTCGGGATCGACGATTCTAGCAGAACGTATACGCGAGAACGTTCTTGAAGACGTTTTTCCCGACGATTGTTCCTCGAATCCGCGACTATGCGAATTCTATGAAAGAAATCTTTCAAATGGGATCAGAAATGCTGCTTTACGAAACGGTATAATTTAAGTATGAAGGAAAAGTGCGATGCGCGTATTTAGATTCACATAGTATGCTGCGTAGAAGCAGCCCGACGTTGAAGCCAAAGTAAAACTAATCCTAATATCCAGTCGGGGAACGTAGCGCAGAGGCTGTAGGCTGGATACGCGCAGCAAGCGCGAATAAAATGCCAAACTTTACTTCTAATCGTAATCATTTAGTCAGGGTTTAGTTGTCCGTCTCATCGTTGATAAGTGATTAAGTAGGCTTAGAACTAAGCAAGCGTATGACAGTCAGTTGGCTTGGTTATGAATCTTAGGTGAGGCGAAGAAATTGCGAGTCGAAGAAAATAATGAGTGTTTTTTTCGCAAAACGACACGAGCGACGGTATTGTGATTGGAAACGTGAGGAAAGTGGAAAAAGATGATAATGATCAGGCAGTCTGAATCATCGATGGCTCGTCATATGAGTCATCCGTCCGAGAGTCCACGAGGACACTCGAGAAAGATTTTTGCGATAGGATGCAACCGATACATATTTTTTCATGTGATATTAATTTGTTACAGAGATAGCCTAGTTTCACCTGTGATCTGTTACTTAATTCCCCTTATCCGCGCGCGCGTCGGCGCTGTCGCGCGAGCGCGCGCGATAACGATAATAAAATAATTAAACTTGCTATTATTATTACGTAGAATCAGCAACGACGCGTCACTCAGACGCGATGATGAGACGTCCGTGGTGTCACAATAATTTTTCAAATTAGAAATTCGATTCGCAGAGGTTGTGAGCGAATTTTCGTTGGCCGCGCAAGCAAGAGAAGTTTTGCTTAATATTAAGTAGTGACGTAGGGAACCTACGGTGAGAAGTAGCGAGTGCCAGTTGCATCGTGTTGTAAAAATTACCCGATACTCTCGTTTGATTTAATTGTTTAATCCGTGTATACGAAGTAAGGTATTAATTCCCTTATCAAAGCTGATGTTTAAATTCGTGATCATTGAAACACTTGAATTATGAGCGAGGCACTCTCTACTTTCGCATCTAATTAGGTTGAGTGTAATTTATACGTCGTATTTTAAGCTGCCAGTATTATTAACTGTAATCGATAATGCATATCCACACATATATGTTAATGTTTAAGACATTATATTATCTCTATAGCCCGATCATCGACACTATAATCTATACATATTTATTTCTTCTATTATATTTATTACATTGAATATGATGATGAAATTTCCGTGCGTTGTTAATTTAATCGCGAATTTATAGAGCTGTAACCTTTAGTGAGTCTATATTCCGTACACGTAGAGTAATACTATTTGTCGAAAGGCAGTACGTAAATTGTATGGTAGACACTAACTTGTAGATACTTCCTGTACCTTGAAATTTGTATGAAGTAGCATTTAGATTACGTAATATATAAATATGTATTATTATAAATGATTATATTAGCGCGCATAGCTCTCGTTTGTAGGATACATAAAATAAGATCGAGCAAAAGCGGAATGAGTCCAATAAAATATCTTGAGCGTTATGCACGCCCTTTACGTAAAAGGGATCTCGGATGGCGATGTGCAATATTCTGACACGGTCGCGTATGGGCGTAAACGTGAAGTGCGATCCAATATTTTTGTTTTAGCAAGCAAACCACCGATGTTCTAAATCGACTTCACTAGGTAGTCTTGTGTACTCTGGAAATTTCTCTTAATAATAAAACAATTAATAACTCCAGTTTGATTATGATTTCAGTCGGAGTTTCGTCATCATTTCATTTAAATAATCCAAGAAAATCGTCTTACAGAATAAAGAACAAAAAATTTTGTACGAAAGATTTTACAAGGTTGTATAAAAAGATATAAAACGTATATCGAAGAAGATATAAAAATATTAATATTAATTGAATTATATTGTATAAATTTTCTTTGTACTACGTATATTTTATTTTATTTATTCTATTTCTTTATTTTCTTAGTTTCGTATATGGTAGTCTCATCTTCAAATTCAGCTGGAATAAGTGGCGGTCATTTTCTTGTGAAGATGTCACTTGACCCGCTTCTGTCTATGTATCAAATCAAACATGTAATATATTTAAATATATTGCAACATATATATATTGAAAATTGCATGAAAAGCTTAAATTTTTAATTTTTTAATGTTTGATAACGAAATGCATACACTGATTTTTCTCCCGATTTTGATATTATCGATTCTTTCGATTTTTTCGCTTTCCTGTAATTCGCGGCAAAAGAGTATGAAAAATGTACAGATCACGTAATAACAACAATAATTGTAATAATTACATAATGTACTTATATACATATATATAAGTATATATAAGTATATTATATACATATATATAAGTATATTTAATTTTAATGTATTTAAACATATTTAATTTTTAATATATGTAGCATATTTAATTCAATGTTTTTAATATATTTAACAAATATTGAATTCAATTTAATTATACAATAACCTTTATCAAATACTTCTGTAAACTCTCTAAACGCGATGTATTGTATTATTTACTCACGATTTCTAGCGCTATTTCATCAGAATGGCACAGGTTTACTGGGCATCGTCGAACATTCCTGAGAGAATTGTGAGAGTGAATAATATACTTTGCCAGTGAAATGAGTATATGAATTACTTATGATAACTAGTTCTTGTTGACATTCACCGAGTGTTCAGTTTCCTCGATAAATTGACCTTCCCAACAACTTGGACCGCAGATATCCGATTTACCCGGTACGAACCGACTGCGATACATTTGACCGTCTTTTCCTTTTATCAAACCGTCCGTCAATTGTATCGTCTCGGGTCCCCATTGAGTAAGAAAATGACCCGTCCGCATGACTCTTTGCTGAGGAGTCGTGACTGTGTGGCTTCCACCGCAGTATCGATTGCAGAGATGATCTCTAATACATCAGACTTATCAAACTTAAGATAATAATTTGTCATTAAGCTATTTAAAAATTCTGGAAGGCATTAAGTCTATAATTGTAATTTTGAAAAAAGATTCATGCTTCAAATGTTAATATTCATTAATATTAATCAATATCAGCTTGTAATATTTGTTCTTCAAGATGTAATATTTTCTTGAGATTCCGAGATGGTATAAAATATTGTAAAACCGATTACCTGGGACTCCTCGCAAACATCTCCTCTTTCGCTTTCATCTTCTTTGTCTCCTCTTGCATTGCTGCCTCAAATTGGATCAGATTTCTGCTGTGAGGCAATCTTCTCTGCTGTTTTCTAACTTGATCCAACTCATATGTGAGGTAGGGTTTCATGCTGATGGTGCAAGGAAATGGCTCAGTTCGAAATCTACCGATCTCTTCTGTCTTCATTACAACATCCTTGTCGCACGATATACATTGAACATCTCTGGATAAAAGAGAAAGAAGTCAACATCGCATTGAAGTTTTATTTGCAAGCCTAAAATGTTTACTTAAGCAGCTTCTTTGTTCCTGCTGCCTCTATTTCTCGTCTTGCTTCAACCATAATCTTCAATTTTTCTTGAAGCGACTTTAATTTGTCATTCACAAATTCCTTCAGCGGCATCATCTCGACTTTATCCATCTTGGTCGCGATTTCATTCTGCACTTCATCGAGTGCTTGTTGCCAAATCGATTCTTGCTTTGTCAATTTGTCGATTGCTTTCTCGAGACCACGAGCGAGATCATCGCAAGCAGCATCAAATTGATCGTGTGATACCTATAATAGTTTTTCTAATATTTCAATCTGTATCAATAACAAATAGATCAGTAAACTTGGTAATTCTTTATACCTTTCTGTTCACAGTTTGAGCATCTGCTTTGTCAGCTAAAGCATCTTCGATATCCTCTTTATTTGCTTTAACGGTTTTTAAAACTTCAATTTGTTGCAGTAACGTCTGTCATATTATAAATCATAATAAATAAGACAGCTTAAATAAATGGTGAAAACACAAAGTAGCTGCTCTTATATAACTCAGATTTGAATATTATTTTACGCAAAAAATAAGCAATGTTTTAATTAATCTTATGTCATTATTAAAAGCCCGTACATACGTTAATATGAGCTTCTTTTTTTTCTTTATCCTCGAGTAATTTGCTCATTGTTTGTCCGATTTTCTCCATATCCGTTTCAATTTCTTGCACTTTTGTAATAAGATTGTTAATCTCAGCGTTATCTGTCTTGTCAACTTCTTGTATACTATTTACTTTTTCTAACAAATGTCTAAATTCTGACTCCAATACAACTACGCGTTGGGTAACATCGTTCAAGGCTTCGCCGTGAATTGCTTCTACATTTTTCACAGCCTCCAAGCATTGCTCCAAGTTTGTAACGTCAGTAACTTCAATTATTTTTTCTTTTTCTTTAATCAGTTCTCCAACAATAGATTCAATTTCCTGTGCCGATGGTGCTACTGGCTTTTCTTCTACTAATGGCACAGCAATAATCGTTGTTGGCATTTTAGTTCTCATATTCAAATATAATATTATATAATAAAATAAAATTAATGTGAATATAAATTGTCAACATACGTGCAACTCTTTCGTTAAGATCTTGCAGTTCTTGCTGTATACGAGCTACGTCCGTTTTTAACGCAGTGACATCTTGACGTATTTCCTCTATAGCAGTGTCATCTAAATATACATATTTCCTAATCAGTAAGCTCTAATATGTTAAAAAAATAGCGATTATATTGATTTATAAACGACTTAAGTAACAACGCCTTTGAGATTAGATTAATTTTTATACAAAATCATTAAATTCATTACTCATAAGTCCTACTCGAGCAGCGAGCTTCTCAGGTGTTACTCTACGGATTTTAGCTACTTCTTTCGCATTTTCTTCTTTTCCACGTTCTGGTACAATCACATCTTTGGTTTCTACTGGTTCTGCGGCTGCTGCTATTGCTGCTCCTGCAGCTGCTGCTATTGCTGCTTCTGCTTCTTCTTTTACTTCTACTGCTGTTATACCAGTAGTTGGCGCGGCTACATCTTCGGTTAACATATCGATAACTGCTTGCAAATTGGTAAGCCATTGCTCCATCTTAGAGACCTTATCTTCGAGTTCATCCAATCTTGTATTAATCAAAGATGTGTCTGCTGTTACTACGCCAGCATCACCTTTGATTACATCTTGTACCATCGTTGTAAGCTGTAATAAAATAATTTAATAAATTAATAAAATAAAGTTTAATTGTTTTAATATTTTCAGGATTAACTTTCATTTATTTTTATTAAATTATTAGAGGTGCAGAGGAATGTAAATATCATACGCGAGATGTTTACGAGATTAGCAAACAATATACCTTATCGATACCTTGTTCATTAGCATCCAATCTTTTATTGATGTTACTAAATTGCCATACATCTGCGGCAGGATCTGCGATTCGATCTTTTAAACGTTCGATTTCCGGAGACGTAGACAAGTCCTCCAAAGCTTGATACTGATCTTGCAACTGTTTTACCTATTGATTAAATTATTAGTAAATGAATTATATTGCAATTGTATATAATATGAATTCTAAAAATGATTTGTTCTACGTACCGATTGTTCGAGCTCTTTAAACTGCGATACCGTTAGAGGAGAATCATTCACGACAGATACAACCATTTGAGCTTCGGGGACTTTTTCAAAATTTATTTGTGGTTTTACATCTTCCGTCACTCTCAAAATTGTTTCTGCAGGCACTTGAATATCTGAATCAAATCAATCTATTATAATAATTTATAATTAATTAAATAAATTCAAAAGAGGAATCATGAGTATTGTACCTTCTGTAAGTATATCAGCATCTTCACCATCGTCTCTTCGAACTCGTTGTACTACTTCTGGTTTCGACTTCATAGATGTTATCATCCTCTGCAATAGCTCTCACATAAGGAAAAAAATTACCAATTTTTTTTTCAATTACTTGACGTATTATTTTTCTTACTTTAATACGATCTGCGTTTTCACCATGAAATTCAACTGTGGCAGCTTGCAAATTTATTTGTTGCAACAAGATATGGAGGAAATTATGAAGAATATTAAAATTAACCGCGCCAACCTGAAATCAACAATTTTATTAATCGCTTTATCTATAAGGCGATGATGGATAATGAATAGTTTTACTATTATTTTACTTCTGGTGTTCCGAGAGCAAGATCGAGCATTTGAGGAAGAGAAATTTGCAGACTGGCATTGTTGTTAGCTGCTGTTGGCATGTTAAATGCTTCTGGCATTTGGGCAGTTTTCGC